ATATTTAGGTTGCCGAAACTAGGAAAACTCTAGAATAAAGAACTACAATGGTTCGTAGTCAAGTTAGCAGGTGCAGTTTGTAGACTTTTGTTGACTTTTTGTATAGTAATTATTCTTGTATACTTGTATCTATGCAAGCTTAAGTTAGTTTTGTGCCTGCTAGATATTTTTATTGCAATCTACACCGGTCAGACCATGAAAATAGTATTATAATTGTTGTAGATTGCAAGTGCTAGGTATATATGATTATTTTTATATAGAACTCTCACCCAGTGTTAGGAGTATGGCTCAATTGTAAAGTGCTAGTTTTCCTGTTGTAGGGTGAGGACTTTGATATGCCGACGCTGTCTCTGTTCAGTTCTTGACCAATTTTACGCTAGTCTGTGCAACTGTTGACTTCTTCAGTCAGATAATAAAATCACTAACGGTTCATTGTTAACTCATTCACCCCTGATGACACATTTGAACTTTTCCAATTCAAAGGTTGGTCCATCATGCAATTTCAGGGGTGAATGAGTTAATGACATGCTTGGATCCCCTTGCTTAACTTTATGTACATGTATATGGAATTGAAAATTGAATGATTATTTTGCCAATTTTACACTATATATAATCGAACAAGACGATTTCCTCAGCTACATTTTGTACTTAGAGGTTCTAAGTTTACAGGTACATCATTGCTAATATGATATTCTGATATATAATAAAGAATTGATTCCTTCAAAGGATTCTCATAATAAATATATCTTTGTGACTTTTTCAGTAATCATCTGAACAAGATGACCAATGTGTAGTATTTGACCACAGACCGATACGTTGTGATGTGACCAACGCAGAATGATCGAGATAGCGTGATATCAGCTGTGCGTCATACGCTACTGTACTTTAGAGAATTTGGATGTGGCTATATTTTGATTTGCACTCTGAATGAATGAGACAAACTTTCATGATTTCAAAGAGATGTTGTCGCAACATCCGATTTTCGGTCGACATTCAACCTAGATATTAATCATATATGCATCTGTTATTGACTTCCATGAGTAATATCTTTGTAAAGCAAACCATGGAACCTTTTTTTTGTGCAGGATTAACACATACCATACATAGCACATCAATAACGGTATGTTTTCATCTGAAGGTGTGATAACTTTTCAATGTTTTCATATCCGTTGTGTTGTATTTAAGGTCTACAGGTAAGTCACATCACTATTGATCGATAACATTGGTAAGTATCGGGGTAGTTAAGTAACATTAACCTTATATGTGTTCTCCTGTGCAGCCAGGTGAGATAACGTACAAGAGGCTGTATATTCATGGCATCTGAAAACAACTTGTGCATGTACAATACCAGGCTATTTGCGTCCGTGGTCCCTCCTTAAACAGTTCTTATTATCGCTATTTCTCGGGAAGCACGGGAGGGATCTTTCTCAAATTTTATATGTAGGTTACCCTTAGTCCGTTGTTGTACAGGACACCTTTTGAGACTGATCGGATAAACAACATGGCCGACAGGTAGCCATCTTGGATTTTGATAGTTAAGGTTTGTTAGTGCTATTTCCCAGGAAGTACTGGAGGGTTCTTTCTCAAATTCTATATGCAGGTTCCCTACTATCCTTTATTGTGTATGTTTATTTTGAAACTGATCAGTTAAACAAAATGGCTTACCGACAGCCATCTTCGATTTTTGACATTGAAGGTTTGTTAGTACTATTTCTCAGGTTCCCTTTGATCCCTCGTTGTGCGTGTTATATTTTAAGACTGATCATAAAAACAAAATAGCTAAAGGAAGAACTAAACAGATCTTTCTCATATCGCAATGATCGATTCAATTTCTTTCACATTAAGTACGTTACTAGTAAATATGTGAAATGACAAACTCACATTGAAGGTTGGCTTTCATACACATCACTATTAAGTTTAGATCAAAAGTTACCTCAAGGTGCATTCACTGTTAACATGACTCGATCAAACAGATAAGAGGAAAGAAGAGAAAAGATCGGACTGACACAGAACTAATGAAGATGGTACAATGGTGAATGCCAATATCCCTCTGGGATCTCTTGTATATAAACTGAGGCTGTTGCCCCCTTTTTGACCAGAAGAGTGGGGACCCAATATGGGAAATAGAAGAGAAAAAATCCTTATCCATTTGTACCAATGAAGGAATTTAACCAAACTTGTTTTGTATTAGTTTTTGTATTATATCATTTTGTATAATTGGATTATATGTCAAGACAACCTGGAGGCAAAAACAACTAAATTCTGTATAAATGGAGGATGTGTACCCCCACCCACCCCCCTCCTTTTCAATGTCATTATATATAGACCCAGGGTCCTGATAGTCAGCCAATAGGTATCTGGTATACTACTGAACTATTAAGTTTTCTCTTATATATGACCTTAGCCTACTTTCAAGGTCATAAGGGACATACATTTGTATATGTCTATATCGAAACAGCTTCTCCTGATTAGTAAAGTGACATTGAGTCACGATATTTGTCTGACAGAATGCCTGATTTACCAGTGAGTGAGATCAGGTTTGTTCAAATGAATAACTTTAAATTTGATCTACTTCTCAGTTAGTTTTCCCAATTATTATTTTGTGAAGAAAGATTGTGAAGTGTTTTTCTGTAGATTCCTAACAGATCTAAATAACATTTGGCCTGTATCTATCAAGTGTGTAAATGAAAACTTTGATTACTATATCCAGGTATAGAGTGATATTATATACAATCCACTTTATAGGTCACAGATTTGTTTGCAAACAGCACTGAAAAGTAGTTGATTGGTAGTTGAGTTGTATAGGACCTTTTGATCTCAAAATTATAATCCTCTGAATGTCACACAATCTGTAGTCTAGACATTTTACTTATAATCCTGTGAATGTCACACAAACTGTAGTCTAGACAATTTACTTATAATCCTGTGAATGTCTCACAATCTGTAGTCTAGACAGTTTACTTATAGTCCTGTGAATGTCGCACAATCTGTAGTCTAGACATTTTGCTTATAATCCTGTGAATGTCTCACAATCTGTAGTCTAGACATTTTACTTATAATCCTGTGAATGTCTCACAATCTGTAGTCTAGACATTTTACTTATAATCCTGTGAATGTCACACAATCTGTAGTCTAGACATTTTACTTATAATCCTGTGAATGTCACACAATCTGTAGTCTAGACATTTTACTTATAATCCTGTGAATGTCACACAATCTGTAGTCTAGACATTTTACTTATAATCCTGTGAATGTCACACAATCTGTAGTCTAGACATTTTACTTATAATCCTGTGAATGTCACACAATCTGTAGTCTAGACATTTTACTTATAATCCTGTGAATGTCACACAATCTGTAGTCTAGACATTTTACTTATAATCCTGTGAATGTCACACAATCTGTAGTCTAGACATTTTACTTATAATCCTGTGAATGTCACACAATCTGTAGTCTAGACATTTTACTTATAATCCTGTGAATGTCACACAATCTGTAGTCTAGACATTTTACTTATAATCCTGTGAATGTCACACAATCTGTAGTCTAGACATTTTACTTATAATCCTGTGAATGTCACACAATCTGTAGTCTAGACATTTTACTTATAATCCTGTGAATGTCACACAATCTGTAGTCTAGACATTTTACTTATAATCCTGTGAATGTCACACAATCTGTAGTCTAGACATTTTACTTATAATCCTGTGAATGTCACACAATCTGTAGTCTAGACATTTTACTTATAATCCTGTGAATGTCACACAATCTGTAGTCTAGACATTTTACTTATAATCCTGTGAATGTCACACAATCTGTAGTCTAGACATTTTACTTATAATCCTGTGAATGTCACACAATCTGTAGTCTAGACATTTTACTTATAATCCTGTGAATGTCACACAATCTGTAGTCTAGACATTTTACTTATAATCCTGTGAATGTCACACAATCTGTAGTCTAGACATTTTACTTATAATCCTGTGAATGTCACACAATCTGTAGTCTAGACATTTTACTTATAATCCTGTGAATGTCACACAATCTGTAGTCTAGACATTTTACTTATAATCCTGTGAATGTCACACAATCTGTAGTCTAGACATTTTACTTATAATCCTGTGAATGTCACACAATCTGTAGTCTAGACATTTTACTTATAATCCTGTGAATGTCACACAATCTGTAGTCTAGACATTTTACTTATAATCCTGTGAATGTCACACAATCTGTAGTCTAGACATTTTACTTATAATCCTGTGAATGTCACACAATCTGTAGTCTAGACATTTTACTTATAATCCTGTGAATGTCACACAATCTGTAGTCTAGACATTTTACTTATAATCCTGTGAATGTCACACAATCTGTAGTCTAGACATTTTACTTATAATCCTGTGAATGTCACACAATCTGTAGTCTAGACATTTTACTTATAATCCTGTGAATGTCACACAATCTGTTGTCTAGACATCTTACTTATAATCCTGTGAATGTCACACAATCTGTTGTCTAGACATTTTACTTATATTCCTGTGAATGTCACACAATCTGTAGTCTAGACATTTTACTTATAATCCTGTGAATATCACACAAACTGTAGTGTAGACATTTCACTTATAATCCTGTGAATGTCACACAATCTGTTGTCTAGACATCTTACTTATAATCCTGTGAATATCACACAAACTGTAGTGTAGACATTTCACTTATAATCCTGTGAATGTCACACAATCTGTTGTCTGTCACACAATCTGTTGTCTAGACAATTTACTTATAATCCTGTGAATGTCACACGATCTGTTGTCTAGACAATTTACTTATAATCCTGTGAATGTCTCACAATCTGTAGTCTAGACATTGTACTATAATTATTATCCTGTGAATGTCTCACAATCTGTAGTCTTGACATTTTACTTATAATCGTGTGAATGTCTCACAATCTGTAGTCAAGACATTTTACTTATAATTCTGTGAATGTCACACAATCTGTAGTCTAGTCATTTTACTTTTAATCCTGTGAATGTCACACAATTTATGGTTGATTGGTAATCATGATAAGTTTCCTTTGTCTTTAATTTCCATGTCATTGTCATGGTAACTAGATACACTAGTTGTTTGGTTACAGGTGTCACACACTGCTGTACTGTAGTAGTTTGACTGTTTTATCACACCATGTCCCAAACACTGTCCACAGGACATCCTCCCTGTCTATACCTACAGCCACTGTATAGTCTGTGTCTGTGTGTATGACCCTGAGGAACTCACCAACTCCACTGATGAGTAGGACCCTGTAGTTGTCATAGTCCCCTATGATCAGGTTCCCCACACTGTCATACACCACATCACGGGGGTAAAATGGTTCACCTTCTGTTTGTGGTGTTGGGTTATATATACTGGGGATGTCACCTCTATATACAAACAGCTCCTTGAAATCAGTGTCCATCACAACAACATGTTTGTTTCCATCACCACCATCACTTTCAATACTGAAATCAGTGACTGCCACATTGTGAGTGACAGGACACTCTGTGATCCTGTGTGGTGAACACACTAATGGTTTCCCAGTCCCTTTAGCCATTGTAGTACACACCATTTTACCATCTGTGGTAAATTTGGAGATGTGTTTGGTCATCCCTACAATGACATGGTTACTGGCTGTAACACATATACACTTGGGTTCCTCATTGGTACTAAATCGGTGTGTCAGTCGTCCTGATACCAGCTCCATGATGCTGTATTCATAATCACAGACCCACAGTGTGTGTGTGGTGGGTGACAGGCTGATGTCATAGATACAGACATTGTTTTTGACCTTCTGTATTACTTTACCCTTCCTGTCCAGGTGAGTTAATTTGTCCAGGTACTTGGTCCACGCCTGACCATCAGTGGTGGGACATATAGACCTAATGTAACATGGAAACTCCCGCTCCTCCACTACCTCGGTCTGTGGCAGCAGTTTGTATGTTGTCACTGCTTTCTTCACTTTTGCTCCTGACCGTTGTTGTTGTGTAAAGGGTTGTCCCAGATCATCAGATGTTGAGACTGACCGATCCTGGTCAGTTAAAGTTTGACCTTGACCTGAGGTGGTAACTTTTCCCAAAGCTTTTTTCAAACGATCTTGAGGATTTTCATTTGGAGTGAAGTTGGCAGTAACTAGGACAGGTTTTACAGGAAGACCGTATGTAGGAGAATGGATCTCACAAAAAGCATCATAAATCTGTATGTGTGAACCACGCTGGAGAGCTGCTTTGCATTCTTGAACTTGTTGTTTGAGTTGCTTCTCGTACATCTCAAGGTCCTGTTTGTATTTATTTATCAGTTTGGTATTATCCTCTTCCATTTTGTGGTAACAAGAGAGTGTCTGTGCTGTAAGCATGTCCAGCTCTTGTTTTAATTTATCTGTTTGTAATTTTAACTGTTGTGACAACTTGTCAAAAGTACTGGTGTTGTCTTTAAGCAGGGTATCGGTAGTGGTGATGTATTTCCCAATTTGCACAAGGTCATTTTTTTCTGTTCTGTCTATAAAGTTTTTAATGTCTGGTTCTTTCTGAGGAGAGATTTCACTTAGCTCACAAACAAAATGGCCTTGATGAATAGAAGAAAGGCATTTTGGACAAACCAGTTCCTGACATTTTTCACAATAAAAATATAGTTTTCTGCCCTTGTGGTGAATACATGTCGTTTGACCTTTAATTCGGAGAGGAATTTGACTGATAGGGGTTGCCATTTTTTATGAAAAGCTAAATTATTTGTTGATATTTGTTGTTCTTGTATAAAGATACTGTTATCAGTAAACACTCGCAAATAAGATTTGGGTATGTCAAGAAGTGAAAACTTGAATGTCCCAATGGACCAGTAGTATATGTTTGTTTAACATTTAGTAATGTATACACAGTATAGAATAACTACCTCACGATCACTGATGTCACAGGGTTACTGTGATGATGAATCCAGGTTAACCGTTCCACACATCAGAAGGTTCACGTATCATTGTCCATAGTTATCCAGCCCTGGGATTCACAATCACATGATGAACTTCCCTCTAGCTTTGCTGATAAATCTGTCACTTTCCTGCTGACATTGTAAAAGTTTTGATCAAAACTTGGAAGTCATATTTCTGTCTGAAATTTGACAATGGTGCTGACTGGGAAGTAACATCAACAAATTTCTGCTCTGTGTTCACAAATCCATGGCAATGTGTAGATCTACCTGTTTAGACCTGCAGATGTGCAGACCAAATAACTTCCCTGTTGAGCAAGGTTACCGACAGACATACCGTGACAATAAATCAATAGATTGTGTAGTAGGTCAGTGTAGGTTGTGTTTAAAAACCGTAGCATTTACATACCTGGTGTGTATTGTCAAACATCTATGTATAATCAATAATGTGATACCTGTTCCTTGGATAGATATATACATGTAAACTGGGTAATAAGACATACCTGTACTGTATGTAGATATACCTGTGTATTGGGTAATAAGACATACTTGTACTGTGGGTAGATATACCTGTGTATTGGGTAATAAGTCATACCTGTACACTGGGTAGATATACCTGTGTATTGGGTAATAAGACATGCCTGTACTGTAGGTAGATATACCTGTGTATTGGGTAATAGGTCATACCTGTGCTGTGGGTAGATATACCTGTGTATTTGGTAATAAGACATACCTGTACTGTGGGTAGATATAACTGATTATTGGGTAATAGGACATACCTGTACTGTGGGTAGATATATCTGTGTATTTGGTAATAAGACATACCTGTACTGTATATAGATATACCTGTGTATTTGGTAATAAGAGATACCTTTACTATATATAGATATACCTGTGTCTTGGGTAATAAGACATACCTGTACTGTGGGTAGAGATACCAGTGTATTGGGTAATAAGACATACCTGTACTGTAGGTAGATATACCTGTGTATTGGGTAATAGGTCATACCTGTACTGTGGGTAGATATACCTGGGTATTGGGTAATAAGACATACCTGTGCTGGGGGGAGATATATATGTGTATTGGGTAATAAGTCTTACCGGTACTGTGGGTAGATATATATGTGTATTGGGTAATAAGACATACCTGTACTGTGGGTAGATATCCCTGTGTATTGGGTAATAAGACATACCTGTACTGGGGGTAGATATATATGTGTATTGGGTAATAAGTCATACCGGTACTGTGGGTAGATATATATGTGTATTGGGTAATAAGACATACCTGACTGTATATAGATATACCTGGGTATTGGGTAATAAGACATACCTGTACTGGGGGTAGATATATATGTGTATTGGGTAATAAGTCATACCGGTACTGTAGGTAGGTATACCTGTGTATTGAGTAATAAGACATAACTGTACTGTGGATAGATATACCTGTGTATTGGGTAATACGACATACCTGTACTGGGGGTAGAAATCAATCCTATCCTGTATTGTTCAGGTTTACTTTTGAAACTGATCAGATAAACAAAATGGACGACCGACAGGCATCTTCAATTTTTGACATTGAAGGTTTGTTAGTACTATTTCTCAGGAATAACTTAAGGGATCTTTCTCAAATTTGATATGTAGGTTCCCTTTGATCCCTCGTTGTGCATGTTATATTTTGAGACTGATCATAAAAACAAAATGGCTAAAGGAAGAACTAAACAGATCTTTCTCATATTGCAATGATCAATTATATTTCTTTCACATTAAGTACTGTACTAGTAAATATGTGAAATGACAAACTCTCTTTGAAGGTTGTCTTTTATACACAGCAGTATTAAGTTAAGATCAAAAGTTACCTCAAGGTGCATTTACTGTTAACATGACTCGATCAAACAGATTATAGAGAAAAGAAGAGAAAAGATCAAACTGACAAGGAATTAATGAAGATGGCACAATGGTGGGCGCCAAGATCCCTCTGAGATCTCTTGTTTAGTAAATACCTGGGTAAACAAAGGCTATTGGTCTGTTTTTTAGCCGCACAGCTACCGTAATGTACTGATCATGATGGAGCAAATACTGGTATATAGGCATCTGAAAGCTGAGAAATTTACTACACAATATTGTCAAACACCAAAATTTCACCACCCTATTGGAACAAAAAACACCAAAATATCCCATAGTACAGCATGGGTTGACCACTTAATGTTGTAACACACAGTGTGCACTTGCTCAGAACATGTATATAACTTTGGTCACTGAAAGCAGATACAATGTACTCGATATGTTCAATTTTAAATGGTTTTATTTGTAATGGAGCAATCAATGTACACCATATTTTGTACAATATAATTTGTTAATGAGTAATATATATTTATAGGCACCAGAATATACATAAGTTTAATGTAAAATATTTTAACACTATTGATACACTGCATGTAAAGTTTTGTTGTAAACTTCAATCAAGGACAACAAACAATCATGTTTCTATTAGAAATTAGTAATAAAATTGAATATTCTGTAAAATATGTTAAACTTCAATTAGCTAAAATCAGTTTCTTTAAAACATTACCACAGTATATTTTCAACATAAAGAGAATTCCTTGGAAAACAGTTCACAAACTTGACTCATTCACCCATGAAATTTCACAATGAACTATTCCAACCTTTGAATTGGAAGAGTTCAAATGTGTCTTCAGGGGTGAATGAGTTTATAGAAACTTACAAGTGCCCTGCTCAACTGTTCACCTATATTGTTTAAGGTTATAAGGGACCGTCAATATTAAATCTCCGATTTATGTTAGAATAGTCTCCCTTTAATTTCAATTAACATTCAATAAATAAGTATTATAGTATTACCCAAGTATTATAGTATTACCCAAGTATTGTAGTATTACCAAAGTATTATAGTATTACCCAAGTATTATAGTATTACCCAAGTATTATAGTATATTACCCAAGTATTATAGTATTACCCAAGTTTTATAGTATCACCCAAGTATTATAGTATTACCCAAGTTTTATAGTATCACCCAAGTATTATAGTATTACCCAAGTATTACAAATCTATTGATTATTTTGCACCATTTATGATGTGTTAACACGTAATTAATAACGTGTACATTACTTTATTTCACAACCTATATTGACTTTATTTGTGATAGAATATTTCAACTGGTGGGTTGGGAGTGTGCAATTTTAATATTATATTAATTACCTAATGATAGATATTTGAGGAAGACTTAAGGTTTAGGTAGTTTAGGAGTTTACTCACAAATTAACGTAAAAATTAATCTCTCACAACAATCGAATGATAAACAGTATAACAGACATTATTGTATTAAGGTGTCTCATCACCATTGCATCACAGGACAACTTGGATATTGTCATTTGACAATATTTTCATTTTAAACATTCATATTGGAATATCAAACATTAAAAACTTCAATTGATATCAAACAATCCATTTTTTTTTTTTTTTTTTATAGAAGTCATAAGTGTCTCGTCTTCATTTGAGCAAATAGCATTATGTAAGGGGATAAACACACATGATGGGTAGGGTTATTGTTAAATATTATTGATTGTGGATAAAATGAGTAAAACGCTGTTCAATATCTGCCTCTATTTACCGTTAACAACTAAACAAGCACCTGCAGCTTCATAGAAATAAAATAAAAAAGATTAACACACCTTCCTAGAAACCAATATCAATGTTTGTAAATGATATAAAACATTAGAACCAAAATCAGATTCAGATTTTAGGACCTATGAAAGGTCAATGTCAAAGCTTACAGAAACTCTCATACAGGTTGATTATTAATGGATTTGTTTAGAAATAATCTTGATCAAAAACTCATATCGGAACATTTACCTGGATCCAACTTTGTATTGCACTTCCCTAGAATTTTAATATGACAAAAATATTCATTAATTATCAGTTATGTTTATACATGTGCCATATTTTGTGTTTAAAATATTCAAAGTCTTAAATCTGACCAGGCTCCTTAACATATCACCAATACTTTGAATCTGCCTCAATCTCACCTATCTCCTTTGGACTTTAAAACTTACTCTCCAATAGACTTTATATAGACTTTAACTTACTAAATCTCAAACTGAAGTCTCCCACAGATTTAACTAATGACTAAATCTCAAACTTACCAAAGACTTTGCATGGAGACTAAATCTCAAACTGAAGTCTCCAACATGACTTAACTTAGAGACTCAATCTCAAACTGAAGCCTCTTGTGAGCTTGATGTAGAGCCTAGATCTCAAACTTACCAAAGACTTTGCATGGAGACTAAATCTCACACCTAAGTATTTCATGAACTTCACATACAGACTTAAGCTGAAACTTAATTTTACATAGAGTTAGTATAAGATCCTCTATACTAAACATATAAAAGGTTAACCTCAAACTCGATCTTCCATAAACTTAACATAGAAACTTTAGCTAAAACTTATTATCCTATAGACTTAACAATGACTTTGACCCAAACAAAGCTCTCTAATCTTAACAAAGACTTAACAAGCGACCTCAGTGCAAACTGAATCTCTTACAGACTTTAGATATAGAGACTTAAGATCAATAGACACCTTTCGTACTCCAAACATAGAAACTTAAGCTAAAAATTAATTAACCAAAGACATAACAGACTTCAGCATGAACTTAATATGTACTAAGCAAAGAGACTGAAGTTTAAACAAATCTATAAATCAGCTTTGAGGCAGACTCTAAGTGTTGATGAATTTCAGGCACGGCAACCCAAATGTACGTTGCTTTGACAATAAAATCTCTTAAACATCTATAGCTCACACATGTACAGAAAAAGCCATAAGGGCAGAAAAAGGGGAGAAACAATGAACAACGGACCACTGGAATAAAGGTGGACATGTCAGGAATGCTCTACGATACAGAACACAGATCAAATGGTATTGAGGTAATATAATACAGAAAACCAAAATCATGTACACAGATATTGGCAAATTTAACAAGAATTTTTAAGATTTTCACAAGCTGCAATACGAGGACAATTTTGCATTGTAACGGTACAACAGTGCAGTAAAAATAACAACCAATTTTAACAACAATGTAGGTCATGTTATACAGCATATATATATCTACACACTCACTCTCACAAAATATACATGTATATAATTAACAATAAACATCAAAATGATGTTTATTGTTTACTTTTAAAAGTGTGTTTTAGCACTTTTTTAACTTGATTCTATGGCAATGATTAACATACAATGCTAAAAACTAAACAAAAGAAAAATGCAGATTTAATGATAATCTGATTATATGTGTAGTTACAGCTGCTGAATTAAAACCTAAACCTACAATGGTAGGATGATATTCATTTCAATAATGCAAACATTTCAATGACCTAGACCAAATCAGTAAATCTCAATACATAATGTTATGATGATATTATTATTTCACAAACATTTCTGTGACCCTGAACATAATTAATCATAAAGTTTACTGGGCGTGTTTGTTTATGTGGACCAAACAGTTCCCTCATACCAAACATCCAGAAATTCAATCTTCCATAGATTTGATATAGAAATTTCAGCTAAAACAATATAGCGTCCAAGGCTCGCCAGAAAGTGCCATAAAACAACTCTCAGGTCCAGCTGGTCCGAAAGTTTGAACCCTATAAACAAAAGGGCCCAATATTTTGATATTCATCTCATCTATACAAACATCTCAGTGACAAAGAAGAATATAATTGTATTAGTGACATGTTACATTTATTAACACATGTATATAAATAGGCCTTCACACTTATCATAATAAAAACATGTACAATACTAGATATTTATTTCCCTTTGTACGAAGTCGTGTGATTTACTCTTCCCCTTGTTTGATTTTGAAAGAAATTTTGAAAGAAATGAAAAAGAAAATTCATAGGAACTTTAAAATTAACAATTTCACTTTTTGCGGGAAAATTAGAAACTACTTTAATTTTGAATTGCAATGAATGATTTTCATTCAACAATAAAAATTTATATAACTAAATGATAATAATGAAGTTACCAATCTCGATTTTCTCATATTTTAGTGAACATCTTAGGTAACTCTGTCTTTACCTGGTACTATAAGCATCTACATTTGCAACCACGAGCTTGATTAATTCAGATCGAATGCTTCTGTTTTCATTTAAAATCAACAAAAAGGCCTATCAATTTGTATGGGTGATTGTCCCTACCACATATATTTTCAAAATGAAGAAATGAAATGTGATCACAATATATTTTATGATATTTTGCATAATCAATTACCACAGAACACCACCATTATCACCACCGAGCACTATATCACCATAGAACACATCACTATCACCAGGGGCCATATGACAGTCCCCCGTCATTGTTTGCAGAACCTGTCAGTTACAGAGAACTGAAAGACTCATAAACCAGAGCATACACTTGAGCCAGCTAGGCCACATGTCATCTGGTTCAACTGGAGTCTTGTCAATCACCATGAAAAATTTATTCATTACAAACATTCAAGCAGCTGGTAATTTTGACCTGTATTGATCATGAATCCTAATACAACACATCAAAATACTCCAGGTACCACTCTGTGTTTCCAAAACGTTTATGAAATGATTCCACTTCACAGCTATTACTGTTGTCATATCCTGTTAATTTTAGCACAAGGAGGATATGTAACATCCCTCTTGACAAGCTCTTTGTTTATCACATTAAGGATCCAAGCTCCTTTTCTGCCTTAGTGGTTACTTTTATCACAAGGAGAACATGTTTGTAACCTCCATCTTGAAGAACACATCATTTATCACAGTTAAGATCCAAGGTCCCAAGTCTGTTTACTGTGGACTAGCTACACTGTTTCAATGGTGGAAACCCCGGCCCTCTCCGAGCCCTGCGCCCTCTGGTCAAGTGGAATGAGCCCAGTTCTCTCCCCGGCAGCAGGTAGGGTCTGGACCGGTGCCTTACACATGGGACAGGCGTTCTGGTACCGTAGCCACTCCAACAGACACCTGTAAGGACGCAGACATTGATTAGAGTGTCAAGGGGAATCTTGCTCTTCCACTCGATGTCTTTATATCAATTGTAGGAATTTAAAATCATATATTTACGATATTTATTAACATGAAATAAACACCTTACATTTTCATGGCCCTTTTTGATATTCTTAAATTTGATACCTACATCTGGACTACTAGTAATGATATTTTCTAGACCAGATCCGGTCGGCCATGATTTCTAGAGCTAAAGACAGTGTTTAAACCTCACCTGAAGATGTAGGTTTAACTCCCTGGGAGATGGGTGGTGGGGAAAGACCCCGGGAAACCCAAGTCAGACCTCTAAGCAAAGTCTCATCATAATTCAAGCACTTTTAAAGGGCTACTGTTCATTCGATAACTTCGCAAAATCTTATATTGAAATCAATATTAAAATATGAATATGATGACATTGAAAGGGATCAAAGTCATGTCATTTGACCAGTATTGTATTTATTCTGCCGTTTGTTATTTTATTACTTGACATATCTGACAGATTTTCATAAAGAAATAGACCTCATATCATATACATCTTTTTATTTAAATTAGTAAATACCAAAACTGAAACATGGCCACATCAACCTTTATGATGGCAATTTACAGGAATTGTTACAGTTTTAAATGTTTGAAAATTTTCGTTATCTGAAAATTAGTCTTTCAAAAAAATGGTACCACTTCACTTAAAATTTGTTTAAAAGTGCTTCTTTTATTTTCTGTAATTCTCTCTTAGAGGATAAAGCAACATGAAGGTTTTATTTCTGGATTAGAGTTTATTCTCTTTGTAAGGTATTCATCTTTCATTTTGATACTTTGCATTATGATTCCAAAATAGCAACAAAGAAAATTTGCTGGATAGGCATTGGGTAGATGCCAAGTTTACCCCTGGAATTTTCTTTTTCCTTTTTTTTTTTCTCTTTCCAAATTGTATTCTCATACTCTTTTGTACAATATATTCCATAATAAACTTTATCATGACCATATATTGAACACGATAGTGTTCTTTACTTACTTCATATGGAAACAGTGGTTACACGGACATATGGCCACATACTCCGACTGTTCAAACTCCTCAATACACACTGGGCACGTCTAGTTTCCATGGAAAAGAAGAAACATAAAAATATGTTGTGATTGTTATCTTACAGCTTCTCCCCCTATTTCTACACAAAATAGGCTGTAAAGCATTACAGGAACATCTCATGTATTTCACAGACATGAACTTGGTGTGTTACATAGGTGCATCATCTGTGAAAATTATGAATATACCTGAATACCAGAAATAAATTTGTCAGTGGTAATAAAACCAGCATGCTCCTCCTCACTGTCTGCACCCATTTGCGGACAGCTGTGTCTATATATATATACACTGATGATATGTGAAAACCAGGAATACAATTATCACTGGGGAAAAAAATGCTCAGAAATAATATAGCTGAACAAGTCACAAATTTTATATTTTCAATTTGATATTATTGAAAATTTGTTATGAATTTTATAAATAATTTTGTTTTTCTTGATGATGATTTAAAATTCCTATACACAAAACTTCACATATATGGTAAATAAGATCTAAAACATACAATTTCTGCTTTAACAACTCCTAAAGCTAACCAGGCTTTAGATAACGTGACCCAGACGGTACTTCCAGATATATCATATAACACACTCACATCATTTGGAAGCTTTCTCTTTTTACATGTCTTGAATTTGATCTGAAAAAACAAAAACATCAAATGAATCTAAATGCAATGGAATCATATTTCCAAATAAAGAAAATTTGCAACTATTTATTTGCATATTATACAATTGTCTATTTTGCATATTATATAATTGTCTATTTTGCATATTATACAATTGTCTATTTTGCATTTTATACTATTTTGCATATTATACAATTTTGCATATAACACAATTGTCTATTTTGCATATTATACAATTGTCAATTTTGCATATTGTACAATTGTCTATTTTGCATATTACACAATTGTCTATTTTGCATACTGTACAATTTTCTACTTCGCATTTCATACACATTTCTACTTCACACAATACAAATAGATTGCAAATTTTGAAATCTGATATTCCCTGGATTTTTTTTTTTTACATTCAAAAACTTGTTTTGTTCTTTTTTGAATTCAGAAATGGGCTAATACTTCCAATCCTGACTTTAAAAAAAACCCAAAGAAAGGCAAATAATTTCTGGTATGATAGTAATGACAGGTCCTATATTTTACATGTAAATTTTGCACCAAGAGACCGCGAACTCCATGGACAGCCTGGAGCTGGTAAACAGTAGGACTATCGCTACACTTGTCACGCAATGCACATGCTTCTGAACACGTGGTAACCATTCAGAGAGAACAGATTGACAGCACTTACCCTTCTGTATCCTTGCTCCTGACGTGCCTTACACCGCAATCTGTCAACCCAGAATGTAGGCCTGATTAATATTTATGTAAAGTTACCACAAATAGAACTATACACACTTTTTATTCTCATAAACATCGTTTTGGATGGTAAGCTTTTTTTCATGTCTTTATGAAAGTCTGTATCTTTAGGAAATCGGTCACATAATTTATCTGATTTATCAACACAAAATAATCTGAATACTTACCAAAATTATCTGTCTATTTTGAGCGTATTTTTGCCTGTGGACGAAGTGCCCGAGGTATAACTGATGCGCAGTGTCATGATAGCTTGCCTTTAGCTTGGTAGGAGGAAAGACTATCAAGTTTGCATGAATGACCTTCACCCACTTTCATTGTTTTCCAAAAGCTTCTTCTACTGAACTATGAAGCCTAGAGTGGAAACTTTTGGTCGGTATATTTCTGGTGGAATGATAACAATTTCTAAGATATGCCATTACTTTGCGAAGATATAGGACTATAAATTTTGATAAAAACAAAAAAACAAAATCTAAAAATAAAAGTTATTTGAATGCAGATAAAAAAAATATCTAATATAAGATGCTCCCTGCATGTGAAGGACAGCTAATTCCAGTAAATGACAAATAGATTTATTCTCCTTGGTCACTTCATGTACACATAACTATTTACTTGCAGGTAAGGAAACTGTTTACTCTAGACAAAAGGCCTAATGGGACTAATTGTTCAATGTTGTTATCTGACACACATCTCACATTTATGACCTTAAAAGTAAATGAAGGTCAAATTGATGTAAACAATTTTTTATATATTATAGGTCTCTTGGCTATTTGAAAAAATATAACACATTTAACCTCTCTGTACTTGAAAGTCAGTGGGTCAAGGTCATTCATATGAACAAGCTAGGCAGCCATTCACCTCAGCATGCTCAGGGCTACATAACACAAGGCATTTTTAGTATTCAGAAGAAGCTCTTTAACTAAAAAAAAATTGAAAAGGGACAACACATCATGACATTAGCTCATTTGCCCAGCTGACAGGAAAATTTAAATGCATTTGTTTTGATCAACCTATTCTTGCTATACCTCCACATATAACAGCAGAAGGTGAGGCTGAGGAGCAGGGACAGCAGGCCTATCCCCAAAAGTGGCAAGGAGATGTTGAAGGGAACTTCACCACCCGTCATTTCTCTACGATTTTCTCCATAATTTCTGCAATACAAAATTAGCCAGTGCCAAATAACAGTGGTATCTGAGAGGGATGTCTCTTGTGTTAGCGAAGGTGACATTGGTATCTAGGAAAGTCGCAGCCTTCCCACAAAACACAGTGGAGAAGGTGACAGAGTAATATAAAGTGGGTAGATATTTGCTGACAGGTGGCAGTGGTATATGTGGGAAGTTAGTAGTGGTATATGTTCGAAGGGGCACTGATATATAGGGGGAGGTGGTAGTGGTATATATGGGAAGTTGGTAGTGGTATATGTGTGAAGTTAGTAGTGGTATATGTTGGAAGGGGTACTGATATATAGGGGGAGGTGGTAGTGGTATATATGGGAAGTTGCTAGTGGTATATGTGTGAAGGTAGTAGTGGTATATGTTGGAAGGGGAACTGATATATAGGGGGAGGTGGCAGTGGTATATGTGAGAAGCCGACTGTAGTATATGTGGGAAAGTGACAGTGGTATATTGGGGAAGGTGACAGTGGTATATGAGGGAAGGTGACAGTGGTATTATGTTGGAAGGGGTACTGATTTATTGTGGGAGGTGGTAGTGGTAGATGTGGGAAGGTAGTATATGTGGGAAGGTGACAGAGGTATATGTGGGAAGGTGGCTGTGGTATATGTGGGAAGTTGGCAGTGGTATATGTGGGAAGTTGGAAGTGGTATATGTTGGAAGGTGACAGTGGTATATGTGGGAAGGTGACAGTGGTATATGTGAGAAGCTGACTGTAGTATATGTAGGAAGGTGACAGTGGTATATGTGAGAAGCTGACTGTAGTATATGTGGGAAAGTGACTGGTATATTTGGGAAGGTGACAGTGGTATATGTGGGAAGGTGACAGTGGTATATGTGGGAAGGTGGCTGTGGTATATGTGGGAAGGTAACTGTGGTATATGTGAGAAGGTAACTGATATATGTGGGAAGGTGGTAGTGGTTTATGTGGAAAAGTGACTGTGGTATATGTGGGAAAGTGACTGTGGTATATGTGGGAAGGTGGTAGTGGTATATGTGGGAAAGTGGCAGTGGTAAATGTGGGAAGGTGGTAGTGGTATATGTAGGAATGTAACAGTGGTATATGTGGGAAGGGGCACTGGTATATTTGGGAAGGTGGTAGATGTATATGTGGGAATGTAACAGTGGTATATGTGGGAAGGGGCACTTGTATATGTTGGAAGGTGGAAGTGGTATTTGTGGGGAGGGCACTGGTGTATGTGGGAAGGGACACTGGTATATGTGGGAAGGAGGAGGTTTATTATGTGGGGAAAATGGTAATGGTATGTGAGGAAAGGAGACTGTAGTATATGTTGGAAGGTGATTGTGGTATATGTTGGAAGGTGACTGTGGTATATGTGGGAATGTGACAGTGGTATATGTTGGAAGGTGACAGTGGTATATGTGAGAAGGTGACTGTGGTATATGTGGGAAGGTAACTGGTATATATGTGGGAAGGGACACTTGTATATGTGGGAAGGTGACAGTGGTTTATGTGGGAAGCTGACTGTAGTATATGTGGGAAATTGACAGTGGTATATTTGGGAAGGTGACAGTGGTATATGTGGGAAGGCGACAGTGGTATATGTGGGAAGGTGACTGTGGTGTTATATGTAGGAATGTAACAGTGGTATATGTGGGAAGGGCACTGGTATATGTGGGAAGGTGGTAGTGGTATATGTGGGAATGTAACAGTGGTATATGTGGGAAGGGCACTGGTATATGTGGGAAGGTGGTAGTGGTATATGTGGGAAGGTGACTGTGGAATATGTGGGAAGGTTGATATATGTGGGAAGGGGGTAGTGGTTTATGTGGAAAAGTGACTGTGGTATATGTGGGAAGGTGACAGTGGTATATGTGGGAAGGTGGCTGTGGTATATGTGGGAAGGTGACTGTGGTATATGTGAGAAGGTTGATATATGTGGGAAGGTGGTAGTGGTTTATGTGGAAAAGTGACTGTGGTATATGTGGGAAAGTGACTGTGGTATATGTGGGAAGGTGGTAGTGGTATATGTGGGAAAGTGGCAGTGGTAAATGTGGGAAGGTGGTAGTGGTATATGTGGGAATGTAACAGTGGTATATGTGGGAAGGGCACTGGTATATGTGGGAAGGTGGTAGAGGTATATGTGGGAATGTAACAGTGGTATATGTGGGAAGGGGCACTTGTATATGTTGGAAGGTGGAAGTGGTATTTGTGGGGAGGGGCACTGGTATATGTGGGAAGGGACACTGGTATATGTGGGAAGGAGGAGGTTTATTATGTGGGGAAAATGGTAATGGTATGTGAGGAAAGGAGACTGTAGTATATGTTGGAAGGTGATTGTGGTATATGTTGGAAGGTGACTGTGGTATATGTGGGAATGTGACAGTGGTATATGTTGGAAGGTGACAGTGGTATATGTGAGAAGGTGACTGTGGTATATGTGGGAAGGTAACTGGTATATATGTGGGAAGGGACACTGGTATATGTGGGAAGGTGACAGTGGTTTATGTGGGAAGGTGACAGTGGTATATGTGGGAAGGTGACAGTGGTATATGGGGGAAGGTGACTGTGGTATATGTGGGAAAATGACTGTGGTATATGTGGGAAGGTAACTGTGGTATATGTGGGAAGGGACACTGGTATATGTTGGAAGGGACACTGGCATATGTGGGAAGGTGAGACTGCTATATGTGGGAAGGGGCACTTGCATATGTTGGAAGGTGGTAATGGTATGTGGGGGAAGGTACAGGATGTGGGAAGGTAACTGTGGTATATGTGGGAAGGGACACTGGTATATGTTGGAAGGGACACTGGCATATGTGGGAAGGTGAGACTGCTATATGTGGGAAGGGGCACTTGCATATGTTGGAAGGTGGTAATGGTATGTGGGGGAAGGTACAGGATGTGGGAAGGTAACTGTGGTATATGTGGGAAGGGACACTATGTGGGAAGGTGGTAGTGGTATATGTGGGAAGGTAACAGTGGTATATGTGGGAAGGTGGCTGTGGTATATGTGGGAAGGTAACTGTGGTATATGTGAGAAGGTAACTGATATATGTGGGAAGGTGGTAGTGGTTTATGTGGAAAAGTGACTGTGGTATATGTGGGAAAGTGACTGTGGTATATGTGGGAAGGTGACAGTGGTGTATGTGGGAAGGTGACAGTGGTATATGTGGGAAGGTAACTGTGGTATATGTGAGAAGGTAACTGATATATGTGGGAAGGTGGTAGTGGTTTATGTGGAAAAGTGACTGTGGTATATGTGGGAAAGTGACTGTGGTATATGTGGGAAGGTGGTAGTGGTATATGTGGGAAGGTAACAGTGGTATATGTGGGAAGGTGGCTGTGGTATATGTGAGAAGGTTGATATATGTGGGAAGGTGGTAGTGGTTTATGTGGAAAAGTGACTGTGGTATATGTGGGAAAGTGACTGTGGTATATGTGGGAAGGTGGTAGTGGTATATGTGGGAAGGTAACAGTGGTATATGTGGGAAGGTGGCTGTGGTATATGTGGGAGGTGACAGTGGTTTATGTGGGAAGGTGACAGTGGGATATGTGGGAAGATGACTGTGGTATATGTGGGAAGGTAACAGTGGTATATGTGGGAAGGTGGCTGTGGTATATGTGGGAAGGTAACTGTGGTATATGTGGGAAGGTAACTGTGGTATATGTGGGAAGGTGGCGGTGGTATATGTGGGAAGGTGACAGTGGTATATGTTGGAAGGTGACAGTGGTATATGGGGGAAGGTGACTGTGGTATATGTGGGAAAATGACTGTGGTATATGTGGGAAGGTAACTGTGGTAGTATATGTAGGAAGGTGACAGTGGTATATGTGAGAAGCTGACTGTAGTATATGTGGGAAAGTGACAGTGGTATATTTGGGAAGGTGACAGTGGTATATGTGGGAAGGTGACACTGGTATATGTGGGAAGGTGACAGTGGTTTATGTGGGAAGGTGACAGTGGTATATGTGGGGAGGTGACAGTGGTATATGTGGGAAGGTGACAGTGCTATATGTGGGAAGGTGACAGTGGTATATGTGGGCAGGTGGCTGTGGTATATGTGGGAAGGTAACTGTGGTATATGTGAGAAGGTAACTGATATATGTGGGAAGGTGGTAGTGGTTTATGTGGAAAAGTGACTGTGGTATATGTGGGAAAGTGACTGTGGTATATGTGGGAAGGTGGTAGTGGTATATGTGGGAAGGTAACAGTGGTATATGTGGGAAGGTGGCTGTGGTATATGTGAGAAGGTTGATATATGTGGGAAGGTGGTAGTGGTTTATGTGGAAAAGTGACTGTGGTATATGTGGGAAAGTGACTGTGGTATATGTGGGAAGGTGGTAGTGGTATATGTGGGAAGGTAACAGTGGTATATGTGGGAAGGTGGCTGTGGTATATGTGGGAAGGTAACTGTGGTATATGTGGGAAGGGACACTGGTATATGTTGGAAGGGACACTGGTATATGTGGGAAGGTGAGACTGCTATATGTGGGAAGGGGCACTTGCATATGTTGGAAGGTGGTAATGGTATGTGGGGGAAGGTACAGGTTTTTTTTATGTAAGGAAGATGGTAGTGATATATGTTATAGGGTGACAGTGGTACATATGGGAAGATGGCAATGGTATTTGTAGGAACCTGGCTGTGGTACATGTGGGAAGGTGACAATGGAAAACGATTTTGGTTAGGTAGGAAGTAAGATGGCAAAGTATGCGAGGACGGGG